AAGATTTATTAACAAAGACACAAATGATGTTGCACAGTGTTTCGGTTAGGTTCTACTAAGTGGACAAAATTATATTTTTATTCGATTTAAATTATGAATTTTTAACACTGGAAATAATGTAGATTACTAAATAGATAAAGGATAATGCATTCATTCTATACATTTCAACAAAAGTGCCTCGATAAAATTTGTAATTTAAAATAAGAAACTGGAAACCAGTCATTCTGACTCCTTTGGTAGTTCCAGTGTTAAATAAATAAAATTTCCTTTTTATGAAATATACGAAGGAAAGTTTGTAAATGACAGTGTGATTTATTGAAACATTGTGATAAAAGGGAATGAATCTTCGTGATTCGTGGACTTCCTTTTCCGGCCGCATAATTTCCTCGACAAATATGCAGGATCACGCTTCATTCGTCCCTTAACTCGCCACGAATTTCTAACGTCTAACAGCTATGTAAAAACGATTTGTCGCGGTCGTGCCTTTGGTATTCCTGTCTCGGAAATTCTTCGGCGATCCTTTCACTCGCGTTTTCTCCGCGACTCGGGTACGTCGAAACGACAGTGAGATATACCGCGAAAGCGGTCGGCTATTTGCGACGTTTAGAGCATTATTTGCACGTGGAAAAGAGTCTATGCGGCTGGCGTCGCGTGGATTTATACACCGCCGCAAAAAGCAGCACGCTCGCGAAATTAAGACCACCCGGCCGCTAATTTTATGGAGCTCGCGAACCGACTCGATTAATTGGCACGCAAAAAGTTTGCCCGTTAAGTGGTGGAAAGTAAAACAAAGGAGGAACGTTTATTTTCACCGTGAGTATCGTAAGTAATTGGAAGTAACGAGAAAATTATTTATCGAGCTTTAGAGATCGATTCATAATTCCATGACTACTTTTTTTTATTTAAACATGGATTCATTTTTGGATACGAATATGAACGTATAATACGCACTTTCGACCCTAAATACAATTTCAATACGTGAACTCGTTAGCGTAAAAAAAAAAGGACTGCGACCGTTCGAAGGGACGGTGGTAGATTGTAAGCTCGCGAAACACCTTTGAACCCTCGAAAAATCATTAGCGCGGCATATGCATAGGGGGGGCGGGTGAAAGGGAGATCCTTCGGTATTCGTGTCTTGGATCCTTGAAGGACTCTCGCTGCCTTTGAAAGTGGAGGTTCTCGGTAGCGACGGTCGGGCATATTGCGGATGCCGTCGAGTATTTATGGTACTTGGGGCATTATTTGTGCGTGGAGGGGTCCGTTATAGGGACGTCGAGTGCATCGCTAATATTGGCACACTGTGCCGGCGCTTGGCTGAGCACAATTGGAGCGTTGTGTAAGTACAGACTGCAGCCTCATCAATTACGCGTTCAATTAGTAGAACCCCACGGAAGTGGGTCGCTGGAGGGGGAACGGGTGAAAGGGAAACAAACGTGTGGCCCGATGCAATCGCGAAAATCGGTGCACCGTTCGCCTCTTGGAAGCATAATCGCGAACCACCGTTCTGCCGAACTCGTCGCGAGGATTTTCGAAGACGCAAGATCCCATCGGTTCTCGCTGCTCCCCGATCGGGCGGAACACGCGTTCAGTCTCGAAATGAGAAAAATGAACGCTCGACGAGAGGGCAGGAAGTACGATAATAACGAAACAGAGAAACACAGGGGAAGAGGAAGAAAAATATTGGTTTGCCGAGAGATTAAGCTCTTCTAAACTCATAAACCATCGTGCTTCGAGGCTGCACCCGTTCCACGACTACCATCGAATTTATCATTCTTCCAGCGCGCTGCGTGCACGTACTGTATCCCGATTTAACGACGGGAACGCGTACCCGTTCAACGAACATTGTTAACGCGGATTCGTCAGTTTACTCGGTAAAGCATCCCGGATTAAAAGCAAAGGTCCGACTTGTTCCCTTTTCGAAACGACCTAATCCCGAAGAACGCATACCTATCGTTGAGTGCATCAATTACGAAACGAGTGGCCGAGGTACCGTTCTCATTATCTTCCTATCCCCGATATGGAACGTCACTTCCGTCTCTGGCGGTGGAGTATTTTCGAAAAACCGCGCACCCGGCACGATGGTAATCCGAGAATATTAACCGGGGCCATCGGTAACAATATCCTCGGAGTGTCCCCGAACAGTGACTAACTGATCAAACATAGCCCTAGGGCTTGGCTCGGCAACGATGGAAAGGGTCTTTCCGAGTTTTTCGACCCTTGGTAATATCGGCTGATATAACCGTGTACGTAGGTACACAGGAAAAATCTCTCCTCCCTTTCTCCGGTTCCATATTGGTCACGACTAACTGGCCGGTTCGCTGACGGTGAAACGTGTACTACCCACCTACATATACCTGCGGCCACGAGAATTGCCAATATTGGACGAGCCTCGCCGCGTTTATTATCGCGAGAGCCAAGTCAAAAGTAGCTCTTGATATATCGTCCGCGTTACCGGTGTCCTGGCGCCGATCGGAACATTTAATAGCAATTAGAAATCGCTATCGATCTAACGTTTTCTGTTCAGCTGACCATCGTGCGCATCCATCAACTCCAGTTCGTTTATTGCGCGTTTCTTTATTTCTAATAGCGAATTTATGAAATAACAGCAAAGTTTTAGAAACACGTATTAGAAAATATTCAAAACGTGTATTGATCGTGATGTATCTCACGTTTGAAAATTTCCGAACGAGCGTGTAAAAGGGAGGTTTTTCGAGACGATATTTCAGCATGGCGAACGTTTTACTAGCACATAACACGACAGGGAGCAGAAAGGAAGCGAGAAAAGAAGACGGGAGAACAGACTTCTCTGACCTTCCACCCTTTACTGCAAGAGGGTGGTGCAAAAAGCGGTGTTTGAAATAGCGTGGCTGCCTTTACGGAATTTTTATTATTGGTTCGTACCTTTGTTACCCCGATCTTCGTTGAAAAAGAGGAAAAGGGAAGAACGGGCAACAGTGGGATGCAGTCAATGCGAGAAAAACACGGCTGCGGTTGTTCCGTTGCTTGTAACGATACATAGTACCTATGCGAGCGTTGCTTTTATATTTTGTCTCGCTTACCCTCTCTATTTTTCTTTTTTTTTTTTCGAGTGTTGTATTGGCAATCGATAATTTTAATAAAAGTTTGCGGTAAATCGAGTCAAAGGGAGAACGGAACAGAGCCTCTGTCCGCGAGTTGCGAATTAACGCTGTAACGCGAGCGTGCACGCCGTGTAAGTTAATTCCACCCCGGATGGAAATACTTTTCAAAAAACCGGAATGAAAATTCCAGCCGGCAGGAAGATTGATTTTCAACCGGTGCACGGGATTCGTCGGTGCCCGCGGAGCGTTGCAACCAGTTCGTTTACACAAATTCATTCGGCCAAATAATGCATCGCGTGATTTCTCTTCTCCGCTATACCGGAACTATTGTTTGCCGAAATATCTATTTAATTCTCCCGTGTCTACTCGTTACACGGTACTACTATATTATTTCAACGGTGAAATAAAACTGTTCTTGATTCGAAATTAATTTGTGTCGAAAGTTTCTGAAAGGGAGTCCTTTCTTAACGTTAGGGGATGACAACGGAACACCCTACATGTAAGGTCTCATATCCCGCAAGGGAGACGGTGCTACACAAGCTCGTAGAACGATAAATAACAAATAACATAATTTTCCTCTATCATCACAAGAGGTTCGAGAACAATTTCTTGAACTCGACCGTGCAATATTAGTCTCCAGAACACCGGGGACTCCGTTTGCTTGCCCCAAGCTCGGCAGCAACAGGTTTCGTGATCGGTATTTGGAAAATAAATACTTACTGATCAGAGTTTGAGACGATATAGAACGAGTTATTAAAATTTCAAGTGCTCCTTTATTTCTCGATAGGATTATTAGATAATAAAATATAGACTTGTACTACTTCGTAGAAGCGTTAAATCTTTGGTGATTGAAAAATTAACACGTTGGATGTTATAGAGATCATAGAAAAATATTAATCTGAATAAATAATGTAAAACGACAAATATAATGCTCGAAATTTGAAATTTGAAAATGAAGTATTCTTATTCTTCATAATTAGAGCTTCGATACGTCTCATTTTTATTTCATGCCAGTCAACGTGTTAAATAAGCAATCACCGAGAAAGAGGGTTCTCCCCATTTTTCGCTGTGAGGCCGCAATGGCCATAGAATAGAAAAGTGTGCTATCAGGAAAAGTAAGGATAACGCGTCAAGAAAGAAACGAGCGTCATCCACTTTCGCGTCGCATTTAGCCATCCGGATTGCTTGCGTAACGTAGCGATACGATCGAAGCGTCGCGGTAAATAACGTGGCACTCAGGGGTGCCGCGGAATATTGCAAGATCGTGCGAGAGGTGAAAAAGCATCGCGTTGCCGGGTATATTTTCCCGTCGGTATCGCGGCGTTGTTGTCGCCCGGGACGATGGAAAAATCGTGTTACCGCGTGTACAAGCAACGAATTTACATGAGGCGGCAAATAAAATGAAATGTGTATTACATTTAAAAAGGTAAACACGTTTTACGGGAACGCGCGTGCGCTCGGGCTTTCGCACTCGCCTCGCCTCGACTTTCTTTGCCCCGGTTACGCCTCGGAAATATGGAAATGAATAAACAACGATATGCATACAATGCCGGGACGGAGATAGAGAACCGAGAGAAAGAGTCTAAAGCTGCGCCTCTGTACGCTACGATATTATAGCGGGGGAAGAAAACAACATTATAAATTAAACGAGAATTTAAAATTTAAACAAGTCCCGACGCGGTTGCCGGCCATTCAAAATACACGTGCGAAAAGAAAGCCGCGGATACGAATACGTGCTCCAGTTATTTTCAAGCCAACGATCCTGAAAACCGTATGTTCGAATAATCACAGCTCCGTGAAGCGATATAAAGCTAAGATTTAAAATTTCTGCATATACAGCGAAACCGATTTCGTTATTCAGTGAAATTTTTCGTATACTAGATATAAGAAGAAATATAAATCATAAAACATGCGACTCACCGATCGTTGAGTTACACCCTGATGACCACACTGCACCTTGCGATTGACCCTCGATGGACCTCAGGTTCACTCACCTTTGTTCTTTATATCACACGCGATTACACATACGAACACGCGAATTATAAAATCACATCGGTAAACTATTAGCAGTTCCGTGTGTACTGCGCGACGAACGCGATAAGACTGAAACGATTTGGAACACCTCAAGTTCAAGCGTAAGGGACATAAACACGGATGACTCTTGTTGATGTTTCGATACAGTCGCCTTCCTTCGAGCCTGAAACGAAATCACAGAAATTCATTTGACTACAATTCAGAATCCTACTATTTGCTTTTTAAATTGCTCGATAAAAATTCTGAATTTTGTTTTATCTATGCAGGTTTGATTGAAGGTAAATAAACGATATTCGAATCAACATTGTTTCTTTTGTTTTTACAAACACATGAAATATTCTGAACATTTATTGTAATATTTCTTTTCATGGTTCGAACACTACTTTTACTAGATTTGGTGCTTTCGAAAGACAAAACGCCTAGGGGTACCCTTTTGGGGATTCGAAAGGAACTTATACGAACTGAACATTTGATGTGTAGCATTCGAATCCCTTGAAGCTACACTTTCCCATTGAAACTGGTGGAAATTTGTGAGTACATGTGGAAGTTGATCGGATCCGTAGCAATCGACTAGGATGGTCGAACTCTCGAGGGGGTGAATTAGTCGCGAACGTAGCGGAGCCAGGGCCAACAAGTGGTTGTGTCTAGTTAACTTGCGGGGTCGTTGCTGGAGACAGTTTCAAAAGACACGTTGTCAGTGGGCCAGCGTCGAACAACACCAACAACCGAGCTGTGTAACCGGGATTTAGAGTATTGATCCGACCCGCTCGAATCCGGCTCTCCGTGGGGCAACCGAGCCGAGAACGGAGCGTCGCGAAACAGAACGTGCGCCGCAACATAAATCTTTCCCTCTAACGGAGTTTACGAATTGTAATATCAATATCAGAGCTCACCTGTTGCGGTCGAGGGTCGAGCAGCAGTTAGGCGAGCAGCCGGTAATTTCATCGAGCCGCTCGCGTTTTTGCATTATCTCGTTAAGAGACCGCTTCCATTTTTCAGATTACCGGCTCTGCCTCGCGGACGATGCTTATCGCGAACCGCTGAAAAATTCGCTGCGAGAGCCTCGTAAGAGGATTGCCTATTCCCTTTTTTCCTAGCTGCGCGATTAAAGCTGTTTTTAATTGCGAGATTAAATCTTCAAAGAAAGAGCTATGTTATATAACCTGATACAGCCCGGGAGATTTTAACAACGAAAACTCGATAACTTGAGGGGTAGTGATGAAACAAAAAGGTTGAATTTATTAATTTGAAAAATTCTTCCATGGTTTTAGGAGATGTTAGGAAGGTTGTCCTTTAATTCAAGGAACATCGGAAAAATCGTGAAACTGCAGAGACGAGGCAGCGTTTGCCTTTTGTATCGCAAACGGAATATGTACTGGAACGGCGCGAAGCGTAAATCTTCAACGTTTGCCGTTATTACGGCCGCGTTTTGAAGCTAGAACGCCTGTTTTCGTAGGGGGAGGCGTTCACACGAGCTGCTACCAGGGACATGGGTGAAAGGAATTTGAACAAACTCTAATTACCAAGCGCTATAATTTTCCGTTGAAAGTGGCGGAGCGAAAAATATGCTTCATATTTCGCTTTGCCGCCTCGTCGCTCGGGTCTGCATTAACCCGCGCGGACACGAACGCGCATAATTCTCTCAAAATGTGGCGCACACAAGTTGCTCTGTCTCGCGACAGCAGAGAAAGGGTCAGGAAGGAAGCAGATAATTTTGAATGAATTGAAGCTCCGCAACGAGCCTCGGCCCCGCGACCCACACACAGCTCGTACACGCGACCGCGTTCACCCGTTTCGCTCGGCGTTGCTACGAAAATTACGTATGCACAGGGTAAAATATGTAAATGGAACAACAAAAAGGGGCCTGCATTTAATTATCGTACGCAGCACCCTCCTGCTAGAGATACTATTTGCCCGGCGACGATTTATAAATAGAGGATGCCCGCGTTTCAACCGCGACACTGGAAACGCGTCCATCGATCCCGATAAAGATCCACGCGGATCGACGATCCGAGCCGAGAATCCCCGAGGCTTTGAAATACAATGTAGTAAAAGTATCCACCGAACGACGAGTTGGACGATGTTATCCTGAAAACTGTCAACAACGATTAACATTTGATCGGCCTGCAACTTGGAACATGATCGTGTTCGGAGCGTGTATCGATAAACTGGGGCGTAGAGCGACAAATAATACATGATCGGTGAAACGCATCGAGCTGGAAACACGTCGCATCGAACGACGTCAGAGATTGAACCACGAGGATGTTGGAAAGGGGAGAAAAAATTCATTTCCAAGATCTTTGTTCCCGGATCCACGGCTCGTGTTAAAGACGGAGACGAATCGGGATGGTATGGGGAGAAGAAGAACACAGCCGCAGGGACCAGACGATTCTTTCTTTCGATCGACTGAAAAATTCCCTCCGCGCGAACCCTCGGGGGCTCTAACCTCCTTAAAACTAGACAATCTTCGCGTCCTGGTGAAGAAATTATGCGACCGTTTTACGACGAACGCTCTCCGTCGACCGAGATCATCCCCTTTGACCTACACTCCCTAAAGTAGGCTTATAGCAATCTGTGCATTGTCGGTGTTCTTCCTTCCAAAGGGATGAAATGTATAGGATACACTTCTTTATTATTTCAAGTTATAAATTCTTGGAAATCTGAGAACTTTGGATGTATTTGATAGTTTTAATTAAATCTTTACGTTTACGACGTTTCCTGAAAGGTATTCTTTCCTCCGGTATAAAAGTACGATATTTTCTAGCAAACTGTTGCTACGCAGCAAAGAACAGAGCATTGTGGTTCGTTGAATCAACAAAGCGAACAAATAGGTCCTGTCATCGAGTCAACCGAATAATGTCTGGGAAGTAGGAGAAAGTTTCGAAGAAAAATGTGGAAAACGGTGAAACGCGGGTCTCGAGGAAAATTCTACAACAAAGTGGAACCGCTGCTAGAATTTCATTGTATTACCGGCCAGTAGCGGAAAGAAGAATTGTTTGACTGTACAGTCGGAGCATGGTTAAATATTTAGAGAAGTCTCGGCGTTGTGACGAAAACGATAGCAGTTTTACCGAGGACGGTCAGCCATGCGGAAACTAGTAGTAATTTTTTTAATGGAGCTAATTATTATAATTTGTTGTACGTACATGAAACGTTTTGCGAAAACGCTTCTGGCGTTGTTTCTGAAAACCACGTCCGACGACCGTGTCAAACTTATACAAAAGTGCAAGATAGTTTTAAATAGAAATTGGTAATTTGTGCTTCCCGACCAGTTGCTTTTGGAAAAAATAAAAGAAAACACTGAACGTTTGTACAACGAACGCGACCATGTTTTCCTCGTTTTTGCTTTCCGTTCCGCGAACTCGTGCGTTTCTCTCTGTTTTCGCAAAACGTTTGAAATAATAATTCGTCCGGTATAACGATAATAGAAACGGTGAAAGATAATAGGCGTGCATGCTCTCGTGTTCCATAAAATATACAGTCAGCCATAAAAGTCTACGTATACCTATCGAAGGATCTGTAAAATATTAATTAAAATATTTTTTAAACATTTTTCTTCGTATTATATTTTTCATAAGTTCAATAAATTCGAGTTCTACGTTCAATTAATAGGTAGCCAAGTTATTAACTGTAATGTACCAAATTTATGGGATATATGAGGACTTTTATGACCGACTGTATATCCTAGCTTCACTAAAATAACAATCGCGTAAACACGAGGCAAGTTCGTTTAATAACGAGCCTTATTCGTTACCGTTTCCCATTAACAGTTCGTTCTTTCGATAACGATCATTAGCGAACGGTCCCATCAAACGGAGTAACTTTATACCCTTTGTTAATCAATCTTAACGAACTAGCCAGCCGCTGATTTTCGATATAAAATACAGGATAATGCAAGCCTGTCATTCGGCCTGCTTTGAGCGAATAAATTTCTCTGTAACTTTCCGTGTCAGTGTCGTGTTCGTGTCAGCCGCGTTTAATACAGACGTCTAATGGCTGACTATCGCGTTGAAACGCGAAAATAATTTAAAACGATATTATTATTCTTCCGATCAGCGAGCTGATCGTGTAACGTGTAATGCGAAATCTGTCGACGGCAAATTGATTTAACGGAGTAAGTTTATGATTCCGTCGATCGATGATCGATTGATATTTGCATCGTGACCTATTCTCTCGATGGGCTTCTTAATTAACCCAGAACAGCGTGAGGAACCATCCCCCATTTAACGTTCCTTTCCCTGCGTTTCTCCTTAATTAAGAAAATGACACAAATTCATCTATGAACTTGTTTCCAATCGACCAGTCCGAGGGAGAATTTCATCATACAGATTCAGAAATGTTCCTTCGTACTTGGGGTACCAGATGTTGCTACGTGTAGCGACAACTTCATATTGTACTCGAATAGTTTTGCATAGAATGCGATACGACTTAAAAATGTTATAACGTTCTTGATACACGTGATTATGTACTCCACGACAAGATCGGTAGAGTCGTACAACGAGGGATGAAACGGAACGGTAAGATACACGCATTCGTAACGGTGAAAAGATAAAACCTTTTATTTCCTGCGTGAACAATAAATGTCTACGTGTTTATGATATCGCTTGGCAAATTTATGTCGCAACGAAATAGCCGAGAGGATCTAGCTCAGCCCGGTTCGACGTTTACTCCGTCGACATTTACGCCGGTGCGTTGGGATGCGTTCATCTTGGAGATAATGCCGAGTCATCTCGTGGCAAGGCCAAGAATGGAGCGTGTCATTGGTTCCGGCTGCCCATTATGGCGGCCCATAAAAAAGAATGGTTTGATAATGCTATGGATAATCTATCTACTCGGCTCTTTTATAGTGGAAGAGCGGCTTGATAATAGGAAATCGATTTACTGCGTTACGGAAGGAACGTAACCCCTCCCAGCGTTACGGGCCACCCAATTTCTCGCCATCTTCCTCGTATTTTTCCCCTCTTTCGTCCTCGTTCACCAACAAACTCGAGTATTACAAACGACTGGTGACGGTGGTCTGGTTTCTCCTCTTTTTCATTTCTATGTGCCGCCGTACAATAGCCGTTCGCTATTTTCCACGAAGAATAATATTTTCAGCAAAGTCATCCGTCCGTTGTACGTAATCGCTTTTTGTTTCTCCGGCAACACACGCGAGAACATAAA